GAGTATCTAATCTCTCCAACTCTTAAATTTTCAGTAATTAAATTAATTGATGAATCGTTATCATAGTTAGAGTTCTTATTATTGTTAACTAATTTAGACTTAATAAATAAAAAATTTTTAATTAATTTTATTATATCGATATTATAAATTAAATATATATTAAATAATTACCAATTGAGTAGCAATAACTTCATAATCATCAAAAGGTGAATATGAATTTGGTTCCGTTAAATCAGCAACTGGAATTTCTATCTCTGACTCTTTGTAAATAGATTCATCATCATTGAATTCATAATCATCATTGGATTCATAATTAATAGTAGGTTCATAATTATCAGTATTTATATTATCACTATCGCTTTCAATATATATAGGTTCCATGATTAAGAAAAGAATAAGTGAAAGATAAAAAAATCAGATTTACTTAAAGTAAATTAATATATATGTATAATCAATTGATAAATTTACTGATCGTACTGATTATTATATAATAAATACCTATATAAAATATATAGATTTGTTCATGTATTATATGTGCACAAGACATTCATACTTATTTTATAAATTTCAAAAAGAATCTTTGATAAAACTATTTGTTCGCTTAAAGAATAATTTAAACTTGTATAACTATTTTAGCTTTATTAATCTATAAAACTATCTATAGTTTAAATATAATACCATAAATAATTTAGTAATTCTAGTTAATAATAATTGATATTAAACTGAAAAGGTATCGGTAATTCCAAATATCTTTTTTAAAGATATTATAAAGTATTTGAAAATAACAAGTAAAAGGTGAATAATTTTGTAAAGTAGTCTTTATCACTAAAAGTTACTATGGATTCAGTTTTTAGTATCAAATGCCACAAGGATTTTGAACAATTCCCCGTTTATAGTTGAAAAAATCTTAATTTTTATTAAGATTCTCTTCATTGTCGAAGTTAACTATTTGAAATTTTTCAGTATTATTTTTATTAAGTAAATAGTAACACTACCTATGCATTAACAATAATACTGTAATGGTAATGGCAATCATTAAAAAGTATTATATCACGATCATCATATTACAGTTTAGAAAAACCTGAACAAGTCTTGCTCAGTATTACTTAGTTAATTATCAAACCATACTGAGTACAACATTATCTTACTCAGTTAATTCAATGCATATTACGGAGAAAATTTTTTAGAACTTTTATTATAAAATTTTATTTAGTTAATTAATAATACTGTACTGAGTAAGGATATAATCCTCTTCGTTCTCTTTAATACTAAGTCTAGCAAACCTGCTAATAATTTATCAAAATGCCTACTTTGATTACAGAAGATCCAGATACTTATGATCTTGACTACTATTACAATAAGTACCCAGACCGCTTTGGTATTAGTACCAAAGAAACAGACCCACTTACTCTATATATCCTACCTAAAGATGTTAATCCTTTAAACTGCGACGCCAACAAGCAACATCATTATTTTAAAATGCCAACTCAACCAGCCTTATCAACCTGCCTTTGTCATAAATACCACACCAATTTCACATCTAAAAACAACAAAATTAATCATACTACTACTCCCTCTTCCTCTTCTAAACAAACTGAAATAGATATCTCTCCAGCTACAGTCATTTCTAAACAATGCTTTGATAGAATTACTGAACGTCTTCCCGAATCTCCTATTTCTAAACAACAGCGAGAATTACAACTTACTACACAAATCCAATCCTCCAACATCTATACAGATCCAACCCCAACTGCAATTGTTCCTCATTCTCAACACTACTATACATGTAATCTATGCAAAATTAAAAACATTTCATGTGTTTTTATTCAAGGACAAGAAACTAGGCATGCACCAGACTACTCCAAAGCTGTGATCTTTAAAGGCTTCTTAATCCATCGTGAATATGCAGCCAATCTCCAATATATTAATCTCAAACCTATTCCTCAAACTAAGGCATTTACACAAGAACAACGCTCTCTTTATCACTTTTGTTATTTCTATCAACTAACCAAACCCCAAAAAATCAACTTTCTTAAAAAACTTGCCCATAGAGGTAAATCTTTAAAACAAAAACAAAACCAACAACCAAAAACTAACAAACCTGTCAGAGACACATCTCAAGATCTTGATTGGTTTGCCAACTATTCTATTACTCAAGAAATAGAACAAAACACCAAACTAAACACAACACTTGCTCAAAAACTTTTTAACTTTACCAAAACTCACCTCCGCACATTTACCCCAGGTCAACCAATTCTAACTCCTATAGGAAAAGAATCAACTTCTAAAGAATCAACTTCTAAACCCCCTCAAAAACAAAGCTTCAACTATTTACTCAAATCTATGGCTACAGAAAAACCAGACTTTCTTACAGAATTTCTCCAACAATCAAATAAATCACTTTCTCCAGAACTGAACATCCCTCTATATGCTTATACTTCAACTCTAAAGAATTTACTTACCAAATTTACTGAACTTCTTTTTACTAAACTCAACTATGTTCATATCTTCAAATCCCACTACTCAATCCCTCCCTATACTATTGCTGATCGTAGCAAAGTAGCAATCAACTTTGCCCGCTTATACCTCTTTCTTTACAACAAATATAGAACAATCCATTATCAAAAATTCACAGAAAAACTTGATCTCTACCCACTTAGACTCTCCCTACAATATAACTTTGAATATGATAGCCCTAAAAAACCTCTTTTTAGCATCTACAACAATAATCGTTTTACAGTCACAGTTACTTTTAATATTCCTAAATCTAGATTCGCAAATACCTTTCGCATTCCATCACTTAAACCTCATATTAATGACTTCAATTCCTGGTTTGAAAACTTCTTTAAAGCTTATAAAAAGCAATTTACCGATATTAATGAAACTAAAGTCCGTAACTATCTTAAATACCAAATTGCAACAATACTTGCTGAAGAATGCAAAAAATACTTACCCCCTGAATACGAAATATCAAACCCCTCTTCTTTCCAAGATCGCTCTTTTCAAACTACCAAAGAAGCTCTTCACCATATCCATACCTGTAAAGATAAAAATTGCTCAATCCTGCCCATGGATACTGAACATAATCTATCTAATCTCTCAACCTACTTTTTTGATAAATCCTTTAAAACATTTCCAGCACCACCCAAAGAAGAAACTCCAACAACTACTCCTATTAACTTAGATTTTACCATTTTTCATTCTGAAAACCAACATCCAGCAACTTTCAAAAAACCCTTCCCAATACAAACACTAAATAAGCTAGCTACTGAAGCAGACCAAAAGTTTGCAGAAATTAATAATCTAGAAACAAATCCCAAACGAACTGCATACTATTTTTACTGCTATTTCAAAGCCTATCTAAATGCAGCATCAACAAATGATAATATCTCAGATCTCAAACTTGAAGAAGCTCTTGAAAAAACTATTTCTCCTTCTACTAATCCCCATACTCTTGCACGCATAATTCTTCACTATGATATTCAAAACCGACCCACCAAATTTTCAATCTCTCAAATTCAGCAAGAATATGAACTTAAACACTATATTGAAGCAGAAAAATTCATCATTAAACACTACAAAATTAATATCCTATCTTCTTTAGATGACTCTCTTTTTCTTTCCTCAGAACCTTCAACTTCATATAGTTCACTTTTTCAATAATTTCTTCTATAGACAACATTAATGCAACTACCGCTTCCAAAATAATGATGTTCTCCATTGATAATGGGCCATTTTTGGAAGAGAATGATGTAAGTAGGCGGGTAGGAAAGCCTATTTACATGGAGAACCAAGTTAATGACGGCCAGACCCAACATACAGGACAGGCTATGGTACCCTGCACAACTGTAAGAACTGAGTATACGGTGAGCGCCTCTATAGAAGGAAAACTAAATATCTCAGATTCCATTTCTTTCAAACCTTCTGAGATACAAACTCACAATAATATCTTTACATTACCTATCACACAACCTTCACTCCCATCTATGTTTCTAAATACACCACACTCAATATCAACAACATATCTCAATCTATCTTCTGAAGACTCAGACAATGACAATATTTCTCCAACTACATGTACAATCTTAGGCAAACCTCCTACTTCTCTTCCTTCCAATTTACTTGAAATATATGACACTTCAACT